GTCCTATATGATCGTTGCGATTATAATATGCTTCGGAAGTATCCATGTGAGATGTTAGAATACAGAGAGACAGTGTGCAGACTGATGTTGTCGAAGTATCCTCACTTGCCTATAAAAGTCGTTATATGTCCTTCACAGTCTTTCTTTATGGTCAGTGCGATCGTATCTGTCACAACTATAGGCATGTCAGATGCTAGAATTCAGAGCCACAGTGTGAACATAGTCGAAGCAAAGTTTTTTGTTCTTCCTGTTGTATTCGTTATACCCGTTCTGATGTCGTCTCATGATAATATGATCGTTGCGAACTACCATGCTCCAAAGGTATCCATGTGAGATGATAGAATACAGAGAAATAGTGTGCAAACTGATGCTGTCGAAGTATCTTCACTTGCCTATTGTTCTTGTTATAAGTCCTTCGAAGTCGTCTTATATGGTCAGTGCGATCGTATCTGCTATAGCTGTAGGCATGTCAGAAGCTAGAATGCGAAGGTGTAGTGTGAACATAGTCGAAGTCAAAGTTTTATGTTCTGCCTGTTGTGTGCGTTATTCCTGCTTCGATGTCGTCTTAAAGGATCATTGCGAACTGATATGCTCCAAAGGTATCCATGTGGGTTTATAGAATACAGAGGTACAGTGTGCAGATTGATGTTGTCGAAGTATCCTCACTTGCCTATAAAAGTCGTTATATGTCCTTCACAGTCTTTATTTATGGTCAGTGCGATCGTATCTGTCACAACTATAGGCATGTCAGATGCTAGAATTCAGAGCCACAGTGTAAACATAGTCGAAGCAAAGTTTCTTGTTCTCCCTGTTGTATTCGTTATACCCGTTTTGATGTCGTCCCATAATAATATGATCGTTGCGAACTACCATGCTCCAAAGGTATCCATGTGAGATGATAGAATACAGAAAAACAGTGTGCAAACTGATGTTGTCGAAGTATCTTAACTTGCCTATTGTTCTCGTTATGAGACCTTCAAAGTCGTCTTATATGGTCAGTGCGATCGTCAGATGCTAGAATGCTAAGTTACAGAGTAAACATAGTCGAAGTCAAAGTTTCTTGTGCAGTCTGTAGTGTTCGTTATAACCGCTTCGATGTCGTCTTATATGATCGTTGCGAACTTATATGCTCCAGTGGTATCTATGTGAGATAATAGAATACAGAGATACAGTGTGCAGACTGATGTTGTCGAAGTATCTTCACTTGCCTATTGTTCTCGTTATATGTTCCCGATTCGATGTCGTCTTATATGATCGTTGCGAACATATATTTATTTATTCAGTATCTTAGGTACATAGTTAACATTTCTCATATTCATTATAATGGTTTGAGTTATTACCAAATTATATTAAATTTTATCAGCACAATGGATTTTGAAATCTGTGTGTGCTGATTATTAATCAACCTCATTTAACGAAACTATAGATACTTGGATACTTTTAGTTATACACCATGAAATAATATCAATAACACTCAATAGTTCTTGCAAACAATGTATAAATAGTCTAATTATTTCAGTTAAGAGTTTACAAGGTATATTGGCTCTCAATTATCCAGTCATGGATTTGCTTTTTAACCTTTTCATATGGTCGACTTCTTAGTGAGTTGGGTAGTCCATTATATACTCTGGTGCCAATAAAACTAATATGTCTCTTAGCGGATATATGTCTCACAGAACTCAATCCTTAGTTATTATTCATCGCACTTCTAGTATTCAATATATGTCCTATTTTAGTTTTAATTGATTAACATGAATCTTATTATATTTTTTACATATAATTGGTGAAAATTTAGTAATTTGCTTTCGTGAAAGAGTAGGTTGCTAGGGTATGTTTCATTTTTGAACTTCATTACTTTAATAATGTACTTTTGAGCTACCATAAGACTCGACATATTAGTTCTGCATGCACTTCCCCACACAATGATGCCATAATTTAATATTGATTCTACCAAGGAATAATAAACCATTTTACATATGTTATAAGGTAGAATGTTCCTTAGTTCATAAAACTTATGAATTACCTTCCTTATTTTCGTTGTAGTATATTCTATATGTTTTTTCCAATCTAACTTTTCATCAATATAAATTCCTAAATACTTTATATTCTGTACTCTTTCTATTTCACAACAGTCACAGTTTCCTATTCCTTCAGTATTAGTACAATCTGATTCATGAACCTTTATGGTTTTGCATTCTGGTAAAGCCTTCTTAGTTAGGGCAAAAGTGATAAACTTGGTTTTGTTAACATTTAGTGAAAGCAGGCTACAGTCTAGCCAAGATTTTATTTTGGAAATGGAGAATTCTGCCTTTATGATAGCTGATCTCCAGGAATTACGAACAGAAAAAACCACAGTATCATCTGCGAAACAGAAGACACTATCCTCATCATCCAGTATAGATAAAATACCATTGACATAGACACTCAACAAAAAAGGACCAAGTACTGTACCCTGTGGCACACCATACTCCGTCGGAAGAACCTGACTCAGATAATTTCCAATTCTCACTTTTTGGTTTCTTCCACTCAAAAAGGATTTCATTAATTGGTTAGCAATTCCTCTGATACCCATATCGTCAAATCTTTCCAGCAGTATATGGTGCGCCACAGTGTCAAACGCCTTAGCCAAATCCAAAAAAATTCCTATTACTTTTTTTCCCTCGTCAAGACTTTTCAGGATTACCTTTGACACTCTGCACAATGCCCGCTCTGTACTGCTGTTAGATTTAAAAGCAAACTGGTTTTGCGAAAAAAGCTTATTTGTTCTAAAATTGTTGTTCTAAAATTGTTCTATCCGTCATTCGGTTGCCCCCTTACGAGCAACCCTCAGAAGTCTTCGAAAGACTTGTGCGAGCAAGGAATGACGGGGGCCTTACCTTTTAACGTGTGATCCCAAACACTTTCTCAGGCCATCAGGAAAAGTCTGCGTTCGTGGGTCTCGAACCCACGATCTATACCTCGACGTGAATCGATATTGAAGCATCGAAGCACTGAGGTACGCCGGCCAATAAACGATAACATTTTAAATTTAATGCATTTTCCTATTATTTTGTTAATGGTGCTGGTCAAGGCTATTGGCCTATAATTTGTAGTGAGTTCACTGTTACCTTGTTCATATAACGGCACTATAATTGTGTTCTTGAGTATAGATGGGTAGACTCCAGAAGAAAAAATGTGGTTTATTATATGCAAAAGAGGTTTTAGAATATATTTATGATTCTGTTTAATCATCTCAGAAGTGATCAGATCTTCTCCACTTTCCACATTATTTTTCAAGGACTTGATTTGTTCAATCAGATCATTTTCTCTGAGAGGTGTGAGATAGAAGGAATTCAGACTGGTTCAATTTTTTTTTCTTGCAATATTGTCTTTCGGCTGTTTTATTTTTGTAGCCACTTTCCGCCCGATATTACTAAAATATTGATTAAATTTATCAGAGATCAAGGCAGGATCACTCAGGGGGTCTCCATCTTCGTTTCTTATTGATTTTATATTTGTTTCATCATGTTTCATTATGTTTTGCGTCATTTGTTGCTTCTTTGATGAGATTCCAAAGTTTTTTTGAATCATGCCCATTATGTTGTATTTTCATTTTATAGAATTCTTATTCAGTTTTTTTAATAAGTTTTGTTAATGAACTTCGATAGCTTCTATAGTCATTTGAAATTTCTGCATTTCCCGGAAACAATGTGCATTGTTTCTCTTTCAGATCCCTTTTGCGTATAGATATTCAGAGTCCCTTTGTGATCCATGGCTCTAATCTCCGATTCTTATTGCTAATCTTGCGATCATAGGTACAAGAGGCAATTTGGTCTTGCATTAACTTAATAAAATTTGTACTACTTGTCTCCACATTATTAGAAGCCAGAACACTCTCCCAGTTTGTTTCTGACAAAAGTTTTGTAAATTTTTTGTGGTCTACTTTGTTAATGTATTGTAATTTCTGAGGCAATATAGTTTGATTTTTCAATTTTATGTTCAACAATATGGGAAAGTGATCTGTGAAGTCTCTAGTCAAAACTAATGAGCTTAATCTATCATGATATTTACTTTTACATTTGATAAACATATGATCTATGCAAGTCGCTGAATTACCCTGTACTCTTGTTGCTTCATTAATAAGGCTAAAAAAACCATAGCTATTCAACATAGTCAAATAGTCACTAATCAAACCACAGTGTATGTTTAGAATATTGAGGTTAATGTCACCAGTAAATAAGTACATCTTTTTAGTGTCTTTTGTACTTCTTTCCAAAATGGTGCTTAAATTACTCACAAAATGATCTTGATTTATAGAAGGTGATCGATACAGTCCTATAATATCTAAACTTTTATCGCACTTTTGTAAAGAGACCTTGATACAATTAATGTTATTTTCCTCTACTATTTGAGATTCCTGAAAAATGCTCTCTCTTACATAAACTGCACATCCATCAAACTTATTGAGAGCACTTTGGTTCCAGATAGCATGATATCCTGATATATTGAAGTCATTTATGTTGCTGATTGTGTGGGTCTCTGACATAACAACCACATCAAATTTCCTCTCCAAAGATTCCAGGAAGACAATAAAGTTATCAAAATTTTTATATATGCTACGACTATTTATATGCATTATATTAATATCACTTGGGGTATCACTGAATTGGGGGATTTGGTTTAGATTATCACACAAGACAGTCTTTTGAGTTTTGTATTCATCCAAGACATTATTCATAGGAGCGAAAACTTAGCATATGCTACAGAGGTATCTATGTGAGATGATGAATGAATATCTGGATGTTCCGACGACATTTTCTCACATGAAACTGAGGTTTGAGCAAACTTTCCATGTCATCCGCATTCATCATAGGATCCACCTTGTAAACATGAAGGTGCGTCATCTTTGGGATTCCTTTCAATTCTCTTCCGTTGATTTTCATGGATGTATTCTGACCAACAACCATTTTTTTTGTCGTTTTTCTTGAGTATGACTGTTTCCATTCTCAATTATTATCGGCCTACTCAGCATCTCTTGTTAGATTGATGATATTTTCACACTTTTCTTTAGTTTCATTTTTCAGTAGGGCGAGTGATAGTTTTTCCTGCGTGACTTTGGGGAGTTTGGAAGAACCGGCAACACCGGCAACACTGCTGGATGAGGTTTCAGTTCTATACGGAACATTCGGCTGATGCGACTGTTCCGCTTTTTTGGCATATGATTCCTTGTCTATAGTTTTTATGGGATGCACAGTATTATCGGTTTTTATTTCCTCGGCCTTCTTTGCTGAATCGATTTGATAGTTGAGCATCTCGATTTTTGTACGTAATTCATCAATTATTATGTCTTTTTGTTTTACTACATAGCTGAAAATACTTATGTCTATCTTCTTGTCAGTTGATAAATTTTCGATGGCATCAAAAAAGGCTTGATCATTATCACATTCACTTACAGTTTGAGATGATGGTTCACAACATATGATCAAATCTTCACCAATAGATTTGACGAAACTGCAATTTCTCGCACAGCTTGAATGGAAGAAACTCTCACAATTAACACATTTCACGCCATTCACTGAGTTTTTCTTACATTTCTCACAATTTCTATTTTTGAGAGAGCTCTCGGACACAACCGTACCGGTAGCCGCCATACTTTTCCAATTTTTCTTTCCAGTAAAGAGGCAATTCTGAGTAACAATTTATGAAGACTCTTTCGTTGGTTGTCTTGATTTCTATCAAATTTTGGGCAGAAAACATACAATAGTCACTCACCTTTTTTTTCAATGAACTAAGAATTATTTCGCGTCACGACGTCGTATAATTTTTCTTGTTTTTCGAGATATAATGTTCGGACTTTCTCCATGTGGTAGGCCTATGCGGAAGTCGACAAGAGTGTTGGGGTATATTTCGATTCAGATTTCCGAGATTTTGTGCCGTTCTCGAGATATTTGAGAAAATATGAATATCGGGACTGAAAAATTTCATCAAAAATTCTACTTTTCCAATTTTTTTTTCCAGTGAAGAGGCAATTTTGGGCAACAAATTATAAAGACTTTTTTGTTGGTCGTTTTGATTCCTATCGAATTTCGGGCTAAAAACATACACTTGTAACTCACCTTCTTTTATTCAATGAACTTAGAATTATTTCGCGTCATGACGTCGTACTGATTTCTTTGTTTTTCGTGATACGGTGTACGGACTTTCTCCATGTGGTAGGCCTTCGCGAAAGTCGACAGGGGCGTTGGGGTGTTCTTCGATTTAGATTTCCAATATTTAGTGCCGTTCTCGAGATATTTGAGATAATATGAATATCGGGACTTGGAAAAATCCCATCAAAAATATTACTTTTCCAATTCCTTTTCCAGATAAGAGGCAGTTTTGAGTAAGAATGTATAGAGGACTTTTCGTTGATCGTCTTGATTTCTATCGAATTTAGGGCAAAAAACATACAATTGTCACTCACCTTTATTTTTTCAATGAACTTGGAATTAATTCGCGTCATGACGTCGTACTAATTTTTTTGTTTTTCGTGATACGGTGTTCGGACTTTCTCCATGTGATAGGCCTTTGCAAAAGTCGACAAGAGTGTTGGGGTATATTTCGATTCAGATTTCCGAGATTTTTTGCCGTTCTCGAGATATTTGAGAAAATATGAATATCGGGACTTTGGAAAATTCATCAAAAATAATACTTTCCCAATTTTTTTTCCAGTAAAGAGGCAATTTTGAGCAACAAATTATGAAGACTTCTTCGTTGGTTGTTTTAATTTTTATCGAATTTTGGGCAAAAAACAAACACTTGTCACTCACTTTTTTTTTCAATGAACTTAGAATTATTTCGCGTCATGACGTCGTACTAATTTTTTCGTTTTTCGTGATACGGTGTTCGGACTTTCTCCATGTGGTAGGCCTCTGCGAAAGTCGACAGGGGTGTTGGGGTATTTTTTGATTTGGATTTTTGATATTTATTGCCGTTCTCGAGATATATGAGAAAATATGAATATCGGGAATTGTAAATATCTCATCAAATATATTACTTTTCCAACTTTTTTTCCAGTAAACAGGCAATTTTGAGTAACAATGTATAGAGAATTTTTTTCGTTGATCGTTTTGATTTCTATCGAATTTTGGGCAAGAAACATACAATTGGCACTCACTTTTTTTTTTCAATGAACTCAGAATTATTTCGCGTTATGATGTCGTACATATTTTTTTGTTTTTCGTGATATAATGTTAGGACTCTCTCCATGTGGAAGGTCGTTGGGGAAGTCGACAGAAGTGTTGGGGTATTTTTCGATTCAGATTTTCGATATTTTTTGCCGTTCTCGAGATATTTGAGGAAATATGAATATCGGGACTTTGGAAAATTCCATCAAGAATAATACTTTTCGAATTTTTTTTCCCAGTAGAGGCAATTTTGAGTAACAATTAATGAAGAGATTTTCGTTGGTCGTCTTGATTTCTGTCGAATTTTGGGCAAAAAACATACACTTGTCACTCACCTTTTTTTATGCAATGAACTTTGAATAATTTCGCGTCATGACGTCGTACTAATTTTTTTTTTCGTGTATACGGTGTTCGGACTTTCTCCATGTAATAGGTCTGTGCGAAAGTCGACAAGGGTGTTGGATTATTTTGAGATTCATATTCTCGATGTTTTGTGCCGTTCTCGAATTATTTGAGAAAATATGAATATAGGGACTTGAGAAAATCTCATCGAGTAACAATGTATGGAGAAGTTTTTGTTGATCGTCTTGATTTCCATCGAATTTTGGCCAAAAAACATACAATTGTCACTCCCCCTTTTTTTTATTTCAATGAACTCAGAATTATTTCGCGTCATGACGTCGTACAAATTTTTTCGTTTCTCGTGATATAATGTTCGGACTTTCTCCATGTGGTAGGTCGTTGCAAAAGTCGACAGGAGTGTTGGGGTATTTTTTGATTCAGATTTTTGATATTGATTGCCGTTCTCGAGGTATTTGAGAAAATATGAATATCGGGACATAAAAAGATTTCAACAAAAATAAAACTCGTTCAATTTCTTCCTTCCAGTAAAGAGGCAATTTTGAGTAAGAATGTATAGAGACTTTTTCGTTGGTCGTCTCGATTTCAATCGAATTTCTGGCGAAAAACATACACTTGTCACTCACTTTCTTTTTCAATGAACTTAGAATTATTTCGCGTCATGACGTCGTACTAATTTTTTTGTTTTTCGTGAAACGGTGTTCGGACTTTCTCCATGTGGGAGGCCTTTGCAAAAGACGACAAGGGTGTTGAAGTATTTCTCGATTTATATTCTCGATGTTTCGTGCCGTTCTCGAGATATTTGAGAAAATATGAATATCGGGACTCGAAAAAATCTCATCAAGAATATTGATTTTCCAATTTTTTTTTTCAGTGAACAGGCAACTTTGAGTAACAATGTATGAGGAATTTTTCGTTGATCGTCTTGATTTCTATCGAATTCTGGGCAAAAAACATATAATTCTCACTCACCTTTTTTTTTCCAATGAATTCACAATTATTTCGCGTCATGACGTCGTACTAATTTTTGTGTTTTTCATGATACAATGTTCAGACTTTCTCTATGTGGTAGGCCGTTGCGAAAGTCGACAAGGGTGTTGGAGTATTTCTTGATTTAGATTTTCGAAATTCATTGGCGTTCTCGAGATATTTGAGAGAATATGTATATCGGGACTTGAAAAAATCCCATCAAAAATATTACTTTTCCAATTTTTATTCCAAAAAAGAGGCAATTTTGAGTAAAAAAGGAATCAAGAAGTTCTCGTTGATCGTCTTGATTTCTATCGAATTTTGGGCAAAAAACATATAATTGTCACTCACCTTTTTTTCTAATGAATTTACAATTATTTCGCGTCATGACGTCGTACCAATTTTTGTGTTTTTCATGATACAATGTTCAGACTTTCTCTATGTGGTAGGCCGTTGCGAGAGTCTACAAGGGTGTTGGAGTATTTCTTGATTTAGATTTTCGAAATTCATTGGCGTTATCGAGATATTTGAGAGAATTTGAATATCGGGACTTGAAAAAATCTCATCGAAAATATTACTTTTCCAATTTTTTTTTCAAAGAAGAGGCAATTTTGAGTAAAAATGTATAAAGAAGTTCTCGTTGATCGTCTTGATTTCTATCGAATTTTGGGCAAGAAACATACGATAATTGTCACTCCCTTTTTTTTTCAATGAACTTGGAATTAATTGGCGTCATGACGTCGTACAATTTTTTTTGTTCTTCGTGATATAATGTTCGATTTTTCTCCATGTGGTAGGTCGTTGCAAAAGTCGACAGAAGTGTTGGGGTATTTTTCGATTCAGATTTTCGATATTTTGGGCCGTTCTCGAGATATTTGAGGAGATATGAATATCGGGACTTCATCATAAATAATACTTCTCCAATTTTTCTCTTCCAGTAAAGAGACAATTTTGAGTAACAATGTGAAAAGACTGTCTCGTTGGTCATCTTGATTTCTATCTTATTTCATGCGAAAAACATACACTTGTCACTCATTTCTTTTTTTTTTTCAATGAATTCAGAATTATTTCGCGTCTTCACGTCGTCCTAATTTTTTTGTACTTCGTGATACGGTGTTTGGACTTTCTCCATGTGGTAGGCCTATGCGAAAGTCGACAATGGTGTTGGGGTATATTTCGATTTAGATTTTCGATATGTTGTGCCATTTTCGATAATTTGTGCCGTTCTCGAGATATTTGAGGAAATATGATTATCGGGACTTTGGAAAATTCCATCAAGAATAATACTTTTCCAATTTTTTTTCAAGTAAAGAGGCAATTTTGAGTACCAATTGATGTAGACTTTTTATAAAAATAACGCTCACAACAGGGAGAACAAGAAACTTCGACTTCGTCTATGTTTACACCGAAACTTCACATTCTAGCATCTCTGTATTCTTTCATCTCACATAGACACCTCTGAAGCATATGTGTTCGCAACGATCAAATAAGACGACTTCATATGAGACGACATCGAAGCGGGTATAACGCACACAACAGGCAGAACAAGAAACTTCGACTCCGACTATGTTTACACTGAACCTCCGCATTCTCGAATCTGACATGCCTACAACAATAGCAGGTACGATCGCACTGACCATATAAGACGACTTCGAAGGACATATAACGAGAACAATAGGCAAGTGATAATACTTTGACAACATCAGTCTGCAAACTGTATTTCTGTATTCTATCAACTCACATGGATACCTTTGGAGCATGTTAGTTCGCAACGATCATATGAGTTGACATCGAATCGGGTATAACGCACACAACTGGCAGAACAAGAAACTTTGACTTCGACTATGTCTACACTGTAACTTTGCATTCTAGCATCTGACATACCTACAGTTATAGCAGATGCGATCGCACTGACCATCACAACGACAATTTCAGTCCGCACACAATATCTCTGTATTCTCTCATCTCACATGGATACCTCTGGAGCATATCAGTTCGCAACGATCATTTGAGACGACATCAAAACGGGAATGACGCATAAAACAGGAAGAACAAGAAACTTCGACTATGTATACACTGTGGCTCTGGATTCTATTATCTGACATGCCTACAGTTGAAACAGATACGATCGCACTGACCATATAGAAAGACTTTGA